GATTATCAGGGATAGAACCGTGGATTTTTTAAAGAATTTCTTAGAAGGATTATGAGGACTAAATCGTGTAGGCTTTAAAGAATTTCTTCGAAGGATTATCAGGACTAGAATCGTGGATTTTTTAAAGAATTTCTTCGAAGGACTATGAGGGTCATAATTCCATATTTTTAAGGAAAGGCTAGCAGGGACATAATACTAGATCCTCTCTAATCCTGGATTTTTTCAGAATTTCTTCGAGGATTATTTGGGAAATAACTGTGGATTTTTTAAAAATTTCGTTGAAGGTGGCCCATAACTGAATATTTTTTACAAAAATTCTTGAAATGTCTACCAGGGCCAAATCATCGATTTTTTTCAAGAATTTCTTCCAACGACTAAGGACTGTTATGCTCATAATCGTGCATTTTTACATATTTCTTAAAAGGACTATCAAGGCTATAATTGTAGATTTAAAAAAATCAAAATCAATCAAAAATCATCGAAGAACTATGAGGGCTCCACTCGTGGATTTAAAAAAATAAAATTCGGATGAGTATCTGGGCTTCAATCAATATACTTGTGAGTCTTTAAAGAATGTCTTCGAGGAACTTCAAGGTCATAATCATGGATAATTTCAAAGAATTTCTTCGTAGGACTATCGGGGTGGATTTCTTGGAAGGGTAAAAAGAACATTAATCATGTATTTTTTAAGTATTTTTTTCGAATAACTACCAAGTTCATAATCGAGGAATTTTAAAGAATTTTTTCAAAGGACTCTCAAGGTTATGTACGTGAATTTTTTACATAATCTCAGAAGTATTATTGGTGCTATAGTTATTGATTTTTAAAGAATATCTTCAAAGGACTATCTTGGCCATAATCGTGGATGTTTTTAAGGTTTTCTTGAAGTGGCCATAATCGGGGATTTTGCTTTCAGCAAGCGTAGGAAAGGTACTATATTTGGTTTCTGTGAACGGATACTGCTTGAAATCTAAAATTTGGCATAAGAATCACTGTTAAAGTGTAGGGTTGAGATCTGTAGGTGATTTTTGGTCGCATCAAATCGTAGACCCTCTGAAGCCATAAGGCTGAGGTTATAAAAATCTATCCTCAGAGACTGGTGACTTCAATCTTCAATGGATAAAGATTTTTTATAAAAAATTATTCCTTCACCCTGGGGACTTTTCAACCCTTGATTTTCCTCGAGTGTCAATCCTCCTTAACATCATCAGCCATTTGGGATTCATAAGTCGCTATTTAAAGTAGTGTTGTTATTTTTATTTTTTTTTTTTCTTGCCTAATCCGACCCCGACCACCAACACCACACCACACATTGCGATGTGCTCCAGGAGAGAGAAAAATATATGGATGTGTATTATTGTTGGAATATTTTTATTGTTGTTGATTTTCGATTTTATTTCTGGCTTGGGGTTATTAAACAAATGCAAAACAAGCGATAATAACTGCACAACATAAAACATCAACTCCAACACCATAACACCCCAACAGCACAGACAGGTAACACAACACAACACAGCGCAAGAGGAGCAGTCACACATTTTCTTCATATGTTTCCCGGTACATTTTCGGTTTGATTTTCCCGGTGACTTGTTGTGCATAAATTTTAATAATTTATTGAATTTAGAAAGAAATGGAAAATGTAAAAATCTTTTCAATTTCGAACCCTTAAGCCAGTCATAAAGAGTTGTAATGAGTTTTTCCTATTTGGTTGGTGTTACTTTTTTTTCGTCTTCATTTTTGTTACCCAACCCAACCCTCCTCCTCCATCTCGGCATGCCTGTTTTATGATCAGTTTTACTTTCAATTATTATTAGTTTTTATTTTTCGGTTAAGGTGGAAAACTTTTGATCACTTCTGATCTCATTGTCATGGGAAATGTCATGATCCAAAGACATTTTATACGTACTTCACGATTAGGTAGGTGGGGTGGGTCTTAGTGGGCTTGGGCTGTCGTCTGGCAAAGCCATTTCTTTTGAATATTAAGGAAATACACGAACGAATGAATGGATGGATGGGTGAGATGGTGGATTACATTTTAAAGTTTTGTTGTCTTCATTTCTTTGGGTTTATTAAATATTAATGGTTATTCAAAACAAATTTCTCGATTGCGCTATGAAATGCAATAATGTTTGGAATACAAATTCGCCGAAAACGGGATAGTTATGTCAAAAGATCAGTGCCATTAATGATGCAGTGGCAATTGATATTAGCTTGGGGATTATTGGAATAGAGTAAAGTAAGGAGTATAAATGACAAATAAAAGGGGACAGTACAAAGCATCGAAAAATTATTAATCTTAGAAGGTCAGAAGGGGTTAGTATAGAAGACCAGAAGGTCTCCGTATAGAAAATCAAAAGAAGGTCTTCGTATGGGAGACCAGAAGAAGGTCTTCCTATAGAAGACCAAAGAAAGTCTTCTTACAAAAGACTAGAAGAAAGTCTTCATATAGAAGATCAGAACGTCTTCTCATAGAAGACTAAGATGACTTCTTATAGAAGACCACAAGGTCATCTCAAGGTCTTCCTACAGAAGGCCAGAAAGTATTTCTATGACCAGAAGGTCATCGTATAGAAGACCAGAAGGTCTTCGTATAGAATACCAGAAGGTCTTCGTATAGAATACCAGAAGGTCTTCGTATAGAATACCAGAAGGTCTTCGTATAGAAGACAAGAAGATATTCGTATAGAAGACCAGAAGGTCTTCGTATAGGAGACCGAAAGGTCTTCGTAGAGAAGACCAGAAGGTTTTTGTAGAGAAGACCAGAAGGTTTTCGTAGAGAAGACCAGAAGGTTTTTGTAGAGAAGACCAAAAGTTTTTCGTATAGAAGACCAGAAGGTCTTCGTATAGAAGACCAGAAGGTTTTCGTATAGAAGTTCACTGTTGCCGGTTAAGGTTACCACCTAAGCCAAGCAAAAAACAATATCTTCGACAAATTGAGGAAATTCTCGGTGATCTGCTTTATTTTCCCTCAGTACAACTCCTTATAGTTAGTTAGCTTCGATGGACCCCTATCGAAATATCAACTACAATAATTTACCGCTCGCCGATATACTTTTCAATATATTACCTTTCTGGCTTTGGCGCTTTGGGTCTGTCGGTGTTTGGCGACGAATTGGTGTTGGGACTAATTAGGTCGAATTTTATAGGAGTTAATTCCTGTCTAGAATTCGGGGCATGTACTACCGTAGTGTCGATTTTCTCTTCTTCGTCAGACCAGGGTCTTTCACAAAAGTCTACAGGTCTACTGTCTTAGCTCAGTCTTAATGGTCCCATATTTGGCGTATTGCTGCTGTCTGGAAATGCAGTGTTAGAGGATTGCCTCCTCCCAAACTTCCCGTTCGTTTAGGCTACTAATCTTACTAGTTCGGAACTTCGGACACTATTTTGATTCAAATAAATAAATTTGTGTTACTTAAAAATTGCACGATTACAGCTCTTATATTTAATAGAAAAAATTCTCTAAAAAATTCCTGGTTGTCGCATGGAAAACCCTTCGTAAAAAATCTTCAAAAAATCCGCTATCATAGGTAAGATGGTCCTTCAACAAAATAAATTAAAAAAACACGATTATAGCTCTCCTTTCAAAAAATTCTTAAACAAATACGAGATTGTCGAATGGAAAACTCTTACAAAAATCTCAAAGAAATCCAAGATTATGGCTCAGAAAGTCCTTAGATAAATATTTCAAAAAACCACGATCATAGCTTGTATTGTCCCTCAAAACAATTCTCAAAAAATTCAACGAGCTCCTGGCAGTGTTATGAAAAAATACACGACTACAGCTATGATAGCATTTTGAAATAATTCTTAAATAAATGCTTGTTAATATCATTGATATATCTGGAAAAGTTGCACAATTACAACTCTTGCAGTTAATTGAAAAAATTCTTTAAAAAATCCCTGATTGTCGCATGAAAAACTCTTCGAAAAAATCTTAAAAAAATCCACCATAGCTAAGGTAGTTCTTCAACAAAATAAATTACAAAACCAGGATTATAGCTCTCCTTTCAAAAAATTCTTAAACAAATCCCAGATTGCCGCATGAAAAGCTCTTACAAGAATCTGAAGGAAATTCAAGACTATGAAACAGAAAGCTCTTTGAAAAAATAATTCAAAAATCGACGATCATAGCATGTGTTGTCCTTCAAACCAATTCTCAAAAAATTCCACGAGCTCCTGGCAGTGTTTTGAAAAAATTCACAACTACAGCTCCGATAGTATTTTGAAATAATTGAAATAATAAATAAATAATTTGAAATAATTCTTAATTAAATGCCCGTTTATATCATTGATAGATCTGAAAAAATTGCAAGACTACAACTCTTACAGTCAATTGAAAAATAGTCGCAAGGAAACCCCTTCGAAGAAAGAAATCCTTAGAAAAAATAATGCAAAAATCCATGTTCATAGCATGTAGTGTCCTTCAAAACATTTCACAAAAAAGGCACGACGAGAGTTCTGATAGTATTTTGAAATAATTCTTAAATAAATGCCCGTTAATATCATTGATAGATCTGGTGAAGTGAATCCGCAATTACGGCTCTAACAGACCTTTGAAAAAAATTAAATAACAACTATAACTACACATTACGAGCTTTTGATATCAAATTTCAAACAAATTCCGATGAAAAAATGGCTCGAATATATCATTATACAATTATGGGGACTATACGATAATGTGGACTCATATAAACCACCTTCGTACTTGACATGACTGCACACAAAATACAGTTCTGTACAATATTTTAGCTTTCTATCCCCCACGTCACTTTTGTCCTCCCTTACTGGTTATCACTGCGCATCTGCATCCTTCTATTGAATCGCATTAAAAAACTTTCCATTACGCCTTTCATAAAAACACAAAAATAAAATCTGATACTACATTTCCCTTGTTGTTGTTGTGGTAAAAAACAGCTTACTCATGTTAATAAAATAATTTCGTCATATAAAAATAGAAATGAAAAGCGCCAACGTGATTGCTTGTTTGCTGGCTAACATACCTTTGTGTTTCACCATCATTGCTGGTGCCGGTGCCGGCATTATCATCAAAATCAGAATTGTCAACACGATTCTTGTGTTCATTGTCGTCGTCGTTGTTGTTACTGCTGCTGCTGCTGCTGCTTTCGGCCACAATATTTGGCAAATGCTGTTCTTGTTGTTCCACCTCTAGTGGATCACCACCTCTGGTATCCACCTCCAAATTACCATCTTTACCGGTATTTGACACAATGACATTGTCATTAACATTTTCACTAGATTCTAAATTACTATTCTCCACACTATCATTTTCATTGGCTAGCGGAGGAGGCCTATCATTATTGCTAGGATCACTATTTGCTGTAATGGGAACTTTGGGACTGGGAGTATCTACGAGTAAATTAAATAAGTTTTGTTCATGTTGTTGGCCTCCAGGCACTTGACTGTCTGGCGCCGCCGTCGGGGGCGAAGGTGCTGCTTGACTAGGAGGCGTTGATCGAAAACCAAGCAATTTTTTCACTTTTTTATAATTTGGTAAAATATTTAACGTTTTTGCTCGGCGATTTCCATTCAATGGGGGTTTATTATTTTTTATTAAGTAATCAGCTGATTTTATGCTGGCCTCTCCTCTGTCGACGTTACTTCTCGTTGTTGCTGCTGCAGGTGGTGAGGGAGAAGCAGAGTTGGGGGAGTAATCTGATGCCAATGTGGCGTCATTTGTCGTCGTCGACTTCTTGTTGTTGCTGTTGATATATTCATGTGTCACTGCATGTTGCTGTCTTACATTCTCGGAGGCAACAACATAAAACAGGAAGCAACTGCAACAAAGAAAGAAGAAAAATAACAAATCAGCAAAATTCATTTGATTAAACACAGAACAGAATAACAACAGAGAGCCATGCAAAATGTTTTACATTGGGGAGAGATAGAGAGAGCCCCACACATTCAGAGAATATTAATAAACAGCAATTGATGTCTCTCGGCCTTGCTCTCCCTTCCTCAATCAATCGTTAGGCCAGCCAAACAGCCAGCAAACCTACCTCGATATCAGCGTTATGAACAGCAGACTCCAATGGGTCCAAAGCAAATTGAAACGCATTTTTCCACAATAGGAATAACAACAACAACTCAACACTTAGTAGATTTTATTTCATAAACAATATATGATATCTTTAAGACATTGCATTTTTGCAATTTGCAAATTTTACTTTTGCATCTTATTCCTTTACACCACACCAATCTCCTCTATTCACTTCTCTTCAGACCGACAATCACTTGACACTTTTATTTTTGTTTGCTTTCACTGTTAAAATCACCAACTACCCGTATATTTTATCGATTTGCGGACATTTCGGCATATTCTTTAACAATTATTTTATCGGATTTTAACTAAATATTATACAATTTCTTTTAAAAAATCAAATGAAAATTTTATAACATTCACACACACGCACTTAGTAGTTAGTCGCGTTTTTCGTAGCCAACTAAAATGTCAAATAAAATAAATAAAAAATTCTGACAGTTTATTAGTAGCAAAGCAATCAGGAAGAGAGCGGTGAGAGATGACAACGGGGGACAAAACGATTGTATGTTTATGTCTGCGTTGTGTTATCGATAACCACGAGAACTGACGTGTATTTTTGTTTTAGTCCATTGTAGACCAGCAGATGGAGTTATTTTTATGATAGATAAATTATTGGCAATGGATTTTCAGATAATTACAAAATAACTCTGTTCCTTTACATGCAAGAAGTTTCAATTCTGCAATTTTTAGATTCCAGCAAGTTATGGAACAGAGCTAAACTTTTGAAATAATTGCTGGATGTTTCGGAGAAAACCAAATTGGGCAGTTCACCACTTTCGCCAAGCAAAGCAACTTTTTAGCTCTTTTGAGTTTATTTTCTTTCTGTTGCGGTGTAAGTTGCGATATGTTCAGCTCACGAGCCACTTTGCGCCCACTGCGAGGCGGATTTCGATCAAGTCTCTTCTTTACTTTTCGAACCATTTCTGCTGATATTGCTGTTTCTTCCATCCACTTCCTTGACGTCTGGCTACGCTACCAGTATTACGGTAACGAGCGATGGTACGAGCCACAAAAGATTTATTCACATTTAAATGCTGGAGTGCTCTAGCGATAGCCACTTGTGGTTTTCTAGCCAAATATAAATAAATCTAACTATCACGCTTGAATTCCATCACGAATAACTTTTTTTCTGGAAAATTCTTACCAAAATGGCTTTGTACGCTTGTAAACAATATAATAAGCTGTCACTGGAATAATTTTAACAGCTGTCGGACGAGTGGCCTAGAAATGACAGCAGTCTGAAGTGGGTTGCAGTATTTTTATCTCACCCTGTAAAGTAATGGAAGTATCCAATATATTCCAAACCAGGCACGTCGCAACGTTTATAACAAATTTGTTAATGTCCGATACGAAATGGACAATATTGACCCATTCCTTAAGTACCTTCACCTTAAAGGATCAAAAATTTTAATAATCATAACAAAAGTCAATATTAATTCAAATAATCGAATATTGAATGAGGTTATACATCTGTCGACAAAACCGACTTGTATTTTTTAATTTGTTTTAAATTACCTTCAAGCGGTTTATTCGAGTTTGGTTGAAAACGTAAACATCGACAACTCATTTATGTCAACTTATCGTTTTCGACTACATATCCCTTCTACATGTGTCGATTTTCAGATCTCTAAACATAAACCGTTTGATAGTCTCTTAGCCGTTTCCCTAATGTTATTATTTCAGAGTGAATGAGGAAATAAGTAGAAGCACTTTATGTCTCATTCGTAAACATTGTGTTATGCTTTGGATTTCATTTTTATTGGCGATTTTGTTTTGACCATCTTATTCAAAACTTTTACTCTTTTTAATCAGTTGCAAATTTGCGCGCTTTGGGATCAAACGAAATTAGTTTTAAATTTTTATTCACTGCAAATGTTGTAACAAAAATAAGCTTCATTTTTTTTATTTCGCGCCAAAACTAATTGACTTTGCCTGTTGTTGTATATAAATTATTAACCTGTTGTCTATTACCTCTGACTCAGAACATTGTGAAATTCCCATCCACCATGAGTGAGAAGTCAACTCTAATCCATTGGTTTCGAAAAGGTCTACGCACCCATGACAATCCCGCATTGTTCAAAATATTTGAAAAATCCCATGCAGATCCACAAAAATATTGCATTCGTCCCATATTTATATTGGACCCATCGCTGCTACAATGGTTGCGGGTTGGCGCCAATCGCTGGAGATTTTTGCAACGAAGTCTTGATGATTTAAACAAACAATTGATGGCCTTAAATAGTCGCCTCTATGTGGTTAGAGGTAATCCCAACAATGTCTTTCCACGACTCTTCAAGGAATGGCAAACCGAATTGCTAACATTCGAGGAAGATATTGAACCATTTGCCCTAAAACGAGATGCTGAAATTAAAACAATGGCCCGCGAACACAAGGTGGAGGTGGAAACATTTTGGTCGCACACTGTGTTTAATCCTTACACTGTAATGCAGAAAAATATGGGCAAGGCTCCGTTGACATATCAGAAATTTCTGGGTATAATTGAGAAAATGAAAGCACCAGAGCCTTTGGAAAGGCCTGAGAAGTTGAAGCGAAATAATGTTTGCAAAGATGGCTGGGAAGTGGAAGATGAGAAATGTTACGATGTGCCTTTGTTGGCGGATTTGGTCAAGAATATGGATGAGCTAGGAGAGGAAAAGTTTCCGGGAGGTATGGAGACAAGTTGATATTTAATATTTTAAATTTAAATGTTTTGTTTTCCAGGTGAAACCGAGGCCTTAAAGCGTTTGGAGGCCAGCCTTTCAAATGTTGGCTGGGTAACGGCCTTTGAAAAGCCCAACACTGCCCCAAACTCCTTGGAACCCTCAACAACAGTCCTGAGTCCTTACTTAAAGTTTGGTTGCCTTAGCTCAAGACTGTTCCACAAGAAGCTCTCTGCAATCTTGAAGGCAAATGCAAAACACTCAAAACCTCCAGTGTCCTTAATGGGCCAGTTGTATTGGCGTGAATTTTATTATACAGCTGCTACGGGAGAACCCAATTTTGATCGCATGATTGGTAACAGTGTCTGCATGCAAATTCCATGGCAAACCAATGATGCCCATTTGGAGGCTTGGACTTATGGGCGAACAGGTTATCCATTCATCGATGCCATTATGCGTCAATTGCGACAAGAAGGTTGGATACACCATTTGGCTCGACATGCTGTCGCTTGCTTTTTGACTCGCGGTGATCTATGGATATCATGGGAGGAGGGCCAAAAGGTATTCGAAGAGCTGTTATTAGATCAAGATTGGGCCCTCAATGCCGGCAATTGGATGTGGCTATCGGCTTCGGCATTCTTCTATCAATACTTTCGTGTCTATAGCCCAGTGGCATTTGGTAAAAAGACCGATCCGACGGGTGCCTATATACGCAAATATGTACCTGAATTGGCGAAATATCCAGCTGGGGCTATTTATGAACCCTGGAAGGTTGCGTTGGGGGATCAGCGAAAATATGGTTGTGTCATTGGTACAGATTATCCTCATCGGATTGTAAATCATGATATTGTCCATAAAGAGAATATAAAACGTATGTCGGCGGCATATAAAGTTAATCGTGAAGTAAAGACGGGAAAAGAAGATCAAGAAGATGGTGGTGGGGGCAAGAAGAGAAAACGCGATACTTCAGCTGGCGGCGGCAACGGTCCCAGTGGCTCGAAAGCAAAGAAAAAGAAGAAATAGTTGGCAAAATTTTCAAGTATTACAAAATTACAAAATTTCAAAATTTCGATATCAAATACAGTAGAATGTCCGGAATACTCGCAGTTCAAGCTCAAGAAGATGGTGGTGGGGGCAAGAAGAGAAATATTGATACGACCGCTGGCGGCGGTGACAGTGGCTCGAAGGCAAAGATAAAGAAGAAATAGTTGGCAAGATTTTCAAGTATTACAAGTTTAAAAATTTCAATATCAAATGCAGTAGAATGCCCGGAATACTCGCAGTTCGCAATTGAACAGGGCCATAGGATATTTTAAATTAAAATTAAGGATAACATTGGATTTAAGAATTTTCGAATCATAGAGGTAAGCGTTATAAATTCTACTGTATGATTTCTTCATTTGACCCCATGCCAATTCAGTATTCAATTATAAAATTTTTGACCTTAAATTATTGTTCAAAAATATTTCAAATCGTATTTCCGATAAAAAATACTATCCGTGGTATAATTAGAGGCTTGATGAGCCAACGAATTTAGGAGAAACATTTAAAATTTACCTTAAAACAAAAATCTCGAGTTATACTTAAAGTCTGCCGAACAGGACTAAAAGGATTATTTTATAAGAAATTACTGTATTTATCTTTTATATTGTTGAATGTTTTACAAATTGTTATTACATTTTAATTTTATGTGAAGGGGAAGCTAAAAACAATAAAATAATAATTTGCACAGCGAATAATGACACACAAAAATAACTTTTTTAAAGAATATTTTCAAGGATCATCAGCCAAATAAAGTGGATTTTTTAAAGCATATTTTTTCAAGGACCATCAGACTAATAAACGTGGATTTTTTGAAGAATATTTTTCAAGAACCATCCAAACAATAAAAGTGGATTTTTTAAAGAATATTTCTTAAAGACCATCCAAGCAATAAACGTGGATTTTCTAAAGAATATTTTTCAAGGACCATCCAAGCAATAAACGTGGATTTTTTAAAGAATATTTTTTCAAGGATCATCCAAGTAATAAACGTGGATTTTTAAAGAATATTTTTTCAAGGACCATTCAAGCAATAAACGTGAATTTTTAAAGAATATTTTTTCAAGGACCATCTAAGCAATAGACGTGGATTTTATAAAGAATTTTTTTACAAGGGCCATGGATTTTTTAAAGAATATTTTTCAAGGACCATCAGATCAATAAACGTGGATTTTTTAAAGATTATTTTTCAAGGACCATCAGATCAATAAACGTGGATTTTTTAAAGATTATTTTTCAAGGACCATCAGATCAATAAACGTGGATTTTTTAAAGATTATTTTTCAAGGACCATCAGATCAATAAACGTGGATTTTTTAAAGATTATTTTTCAAGGACCATCAGATCAATAAACGTGGATTTTTTAAAGGTTATTTTTCAAGGACCATCAGATCAATAGACGTGGATTTCTTAAAGATTAGTTTTCAAGATTTTTTAAAGATTATTTTTCAAGGACCATCAGATCAATAAACGTGGATTTTTTAAAGATTATTTTTCAAGGACCATCAGTTCAATAAACGTGGATTTTTTAAAGATTATTTTTCAAGGACCATCAGTCTAATAAACGTGAATTTTTTAAAGAATATTTTTCAAGGACCATTCAAGCAATAAACGTGGATTTTTTAAAGAATAATTTTTCAAGGACCATCCAAGCAATAAACGTGGATTTTTTAAAGAATAATTTTTCAAGGACCATCAGTCTAATAAACGTGATTTTTTTAAAGAATATTTTTCAAGGACCATCCAAGCAATAAACGTGGATTTTTTAAAGAATAATTTTTCAAGGACCATCAGTCTAATAAACGTGAATTTTTTAAAGAATATTTTTCAAGGACCATCCAAGCAATAAACGTGGATTTTTTAAAGAATAATTTTTCAAGGACCATCCAAGCAATAAACCTGGATTTTTTAAAGAATATTTTTTCAAGGACCATCCAAGCAATAAACGTGGATTTTTTAAAGAATATTTTTTAAGGACCAACAAACGTGGATTGTTTAAAGAATATTTTTTAAGGACCAACAAACGTGGATTGTTTAAAGAATATTTTTTCAAGGACCATCCAAGCAATAAATGTGGATTTTTCAAAGAATATTTTTTTCAAGGACCAACAGACCAATCAATACACGTGGATTTTTTAAAGAATATTTTTCAAGGACCATCAGTCTAATAAACGTGGATTTTTTAAAGAATATTTTTCAAGGTCCATCGGAACAATAAACGTGGATTTTTTAAAGAATATTTTTCAAGGACCATCCAAGCAATAAACGTGGATTTTTTAAAGAATATTTTTTCAAGGACCATCCAAGCAATAAACGTGGATTTTTTAAAGAATATTTTTTCAAGGACCATCCAAGCAATAAACGTGGATTTTTTAAAGAATATTTTTTCAAGCAATAAACGTGGATTTTTTAAAGAATATTTTTTCAAGCAATAAACGTGGATTTTTTTAAAGAATATTTTTTCAAGGACCATCCCAGCAATAAACGTGGATTTTTTAAAGAATATTTTTTCAAGGACCATCCAAGCAATAAACGTGGATTTTTTAAAGAATATTTTTTCAAGGACCATCCAAGCAATAAACGTGGATTTTTTAAAGAATATTTTTTCAAGGACCATCCAAGCAATAAACGTGGATTTTTTAAAGAATATTTTTTCAAGGACCATCCAAGCAATAAACGTGGATTTTTTAAAGAATATTTTTTCAAGGACCATCCAAGCAATAAACGTGGATTTTTTAAAGAATATTTTTTCAAGGACCATCCAAGCAATAAACGTGGATTTTTTAAAGAATATTTTTTCAAGGACCATCCAAGCAATAAACGTGGATTTTTTAAAGAATATTTTTTCAAGGACCATCCAAGCAATAAACGTGGATTTTTTAAAGAATATTTTTTCAAGGACCATCCAATAAACGTGGATTTTTTAAAGAATATTTTTTCAAGGACCATCCAAGCAATAAACGTGGATTTTTTAAAGAATATTTTTTCAAGGACCATCCAAGCAATAAACATGGATTTTTTAAAAAATATTTTTTCAAGGACCATCCAATAAACGTGGATTTTTTAAAGAATATTTTTTCAAGGACCATCCAAGCAATAAACGTGGATTTTTTAAAAAATATTTTTTCAAGGACCATCCAAGCAATAAACATGGATTTTTTAAAAAATATTTTTTCAAGGACCATCCAAGCAAAAAACGTGGATTTTTTAAAGAATATTTTTCAAGGACCATCAGACCAATAAACGTGGATTTTTTAAAGAATATTTTTCAAGGACCATCAGACCAATAAACGTGGATTTTTTAAAGAATATTTTTCAAGGACCATCAGACCAATAAACGTGGATTTTTTAAAGAATATTTTTCAAGGACATTCAGACCAATAAACGTGGATTTTTTAAAGAATATTTTTCAAGGACCATCAGACCAATAAACGTGGATTTTTTAAAGAATATTTTTCAAGGACATTCAGACCAATAAACGTGGATTTTTTAAAGAATATTTTTCAAGGACCATCAGACCAATAAACGTGGATTTTTTAAAGAATATTTTTCAAGGACCATCAGACCAATAAACGTGGATTTTTTAAAGAATATTTTTCAAGGACCATCAGACCAATAAACGTGGATTTTTTAAAGAATATTTTTCAAGGACATTCAGACCAATAAACGTGGATTTTTTAAAGAATATTTTTCAAGGACCATCAGACCAATAAACGTGGATTTTTTAAAGAATATTTTTCAAGGACATTCAGACCAATAAACGTGGATTTTTTAAAGAATATTTTTCAAGGACCATCAGACCAATAAACGTGGATTTTTTAAAGAATATTTTTCAAGGACCATCAGACCAATAAACGTGGATTTTTTAAAGAATTTTTTTCAAGGACCATCAGACCAATAAACGTGGATTTTTTAAAGAATATTTTTCAAGGACCATCAAAGCAACAAACGTGGATTTTTTAAAGAATTTTTTTCAATGACCATCAGTCGAATAAATGTGGATTTTTTAAAAAAAAATTTAAGGACCTAATAAACGTGTATCAACCTTATCACAAAAATTTTTATTATTTGTTTTAAAAGTCATTTTTAATTTCCGAATTTAAAAAATATTTGTTAATAATTTCGGGATGCTATCCAAAATACGTTTTCTTAGCAAGAATCTGCAGCCGAAACCGAACCATTTTAAAATTTCCAACAAATTATTTTCCCTAACAACATCTGCAAGCTCCCATTATCGCAATGCAACCTCTTCTGAAGTTGAAATATTTGATATAAATCCCAATAATTTTACTGAAGATGAATCTCCTGGAAATAGTTTGGCAAACCCAGACAACCCCATTGAATATAAGGATATAAGTGGTACTTTAATGTCACCGATTGACATTGATCCATGGATGGATGAAGATATTGCGAAAGCCGGTACTGTGGATATGGAAATGATTGAAAATTACAAAGAGATTCCGGAATATGGAAACCCAACCGATGAACGATCAGGTATCTACAAATTTGAAGATATTGAAATTACATTGCCATCGAAAATGTTAAGTCGTGCCACATATCGTTATGATGTGGAGGGAAATGATTGGGAGGCTATTCCGGATGATACCAGAATTTGTAAATATGAGAAATTGAAAAAGAAATAATTGAAATTTGAAGAATATAGAGATTTCTTTCAATTGGCTATAAAAATTGGAAAAATTTTATGAAACACTTCTTCTTGTCGGTTGGGTGATTGGAAATACATGGACTGTTGAAACTTCGACAGAGGACTTTTTTTCATTGGTTATATGTAGAGCTTATGTAGTCCTTAATTCAACTTTTGGAGAATTTAGACTTTTTTTTTCTTTTTTTATCGTGTCATTATACAGACTTATTGGTCTTCTATAAAGGGTCTACTGAACTCCATAGAATTATGGGCAAAATCAAGGAGTTTTACATTTTTTGTTTGAATCTGAAAGTTTTTATTATACCCTCCACCATAATATGGTGGAAAAATCTTTATTATACCCCCACCATAATATGGAGGGTATATTGAGTTTGTCATTCCGTTTGCAAAACCTCGAAATATACATTTTAGACCCCACAAAGCACATATATTGTTGATCAGCATAAAATTCTATGTCGATTTAGCGATGTCCGTCCGTCTGTCCGTCTATGGAAATCACTGTAGCTTCCGAACGAAACGAAGTAGGTTGGTAAAATTTTACTCAAATGTATATTATGTCTGCAGAACTTTTGCTATTGAAAATGGGCCACGTAGGTCTACGTTTGGGTATAGCCCCTATATAACGGTACCTCCCGATATTCGGTATTTTGATGATTTTAGTGACATTATTAACCGGAATTGTTTCAAATTTCGTATTTGAGATTCGTAATGGATGCTATAGCCTGTGACAAAAAATTGTCTACGCTGGTCCAGGTCATCGCACAGCTACGATATAACAGTACCTCCCTATATACCATATTTTGTTTATTTTAGCTACATTATTCACCGGAATTGTTCCAAATTTGGTCACCTTTGGCATGAATTATGGCCTTAAAACGGCCAATGAAACCGAATGTTGCTCTGCGTATTTTGGCCCATTCCCGGCGAAGCGCTAGCTTGCGGTGATCGACACTTTGGTATTTTTTAGTGCAAACCTTTCTTTCCAAAATACTCCAGACGCAATTGTGTAACGGATTGGTATTGAGATATGAT